AGAGATAATAATGGGAGGGATCACAATAGAGCCTTCTGGGGATTTGGAGAAGTCCTATATCTTGATCTGTGCAGTGTTGTCTCTGTGCACATGTGAAAATATTTATCAAGTTTTATAATTAAGATTTGTGCTGTTTGCTATATATATATGTATGTAATACCTAAATTTAAAACAACAGCCCTAACCGGTTTGGCTCAGTGGATAAAGCATCGGCCTGCGGACTGAAGGGTCCCAGGTTCGATTCTGGTTTCCAGTCAAGGGCATGTACCTTGGTTGCGGGCACATCCCCAGTAGGGAGTGTGCAGGAGACAGCTGATCGATGTTTCTCTCTCATAGATATTTCTAACTCTATCCTCCCTCTCCCTTCCTCTCTGTAAAAAATCAATAAAATATATTTAAAAACAAAAATAAATAAATAAATAAAAGCAAACAAAACCAACAACAACAGTGCAATAGAAGCACAGAAAAAGAAGTGCCTACCTCTGAGTAAAGAAATCAGGGAATCAGAGAAGATTGCCCAGCTGGTATGGCTCAGTGGTTGAGCATCACCTATGAACCAGGAGGTCATGGTTCAATTCTCAGGCAGGGCATATGCCCAGGTTTCAGGACCCTCAGTGGGGGGCATGCAGAAGGCAGCCAATCAATGATTCTCTCTCATCACTGATGTTTCTCTCTCTCCCTCCCTCTCTCTCTTTCTCTCTCCCTTTCTGAAATCAATAAAAATATCTTTAAAAAAAAAAAAAGAAATCAGGGAAGACTTCTCTGGGAATGTTTGAACTGGACCTTGAATAGGAACTTGTTAAAATGGGACTGCATATCAGAGAAGACAAATACTATATGATTTTATTTATATGTGGACTCTAACAAAAACCAAAATAAGCAAACAAAATAGAAACAGACTCACAGATACAGTGAACAAACTGATGGTTGCTAGATGGGAGGGAAGTTGGAAGACTGGTGAAAAAGATGAAGGGATTAAGAAGTACAAATTGGCCCTAGTTGGTTTGGCTCAGTGTATAGAGCATCGGCCTGCAGACTGAAGGGTTCCGGGTTTGATTCTGGTCAAGGGCACATGCCCAGGTTGTGAGCTCGATCCCCAGTAGGGGGCGTGCAGGAGGCAGCCAATCAGTGATTCTCTCCCCTCATGGATGTTTCTATCTCTCCCTCTCCCTCTCTGAAATCAATAAAAATATATTTTAAAAAAAGGAAGTACAACTTGGCAGTTACAAAGTAATCATAGGGATGTAAAGTACAGCATAGGGAATATAGTCAATAATATAATAACTATGCATGGTGAGTACTAGACTTTTTTTGGGAATCATGTCATAAGTTATATAAATGTCTAATCACTATGCTGTATAATTTTTTAAAAATCATAAAAATGTCTATCCATCGACTTGTAATCCCATTCTTGGGAATTTATCCCAAAGAAATAATTAAACATAGGATGAAAGCTATATGCATCACATCTAATGTAAAAAACAACAACAAAAAAACCACCAAAAAATAGAAACAATCTGAATGTCTAATGAAAAGGATAAATAAATTATTGCCTGAGTAATATTATATAGACTCGAGAGGCCTGGTGCACGAAATTCGTGCACGGGTAGGGTCCCTAGGCCTGGCTGGCGATCAGAGCCAGTTGGGACCTTCCTTTCCCCAGCTGCCGGCTGCCAGCCAGGGCCTTCCTTCATTCTGTGCCGCCCCTGGTGGTCAGCACACGTCATAGCGAATGGTCGAACTCCCGGTCAGTCGAACTCCTCCTGAGTGGACAATTTGCATATTAGCCTTTTATTATATAGGATTACAAGGATTATTATGAAAGCTGTAGAATCATAGAAAAGTTTATATTTCATAATTAGTGAAAAAGGCAATATATATTACTACTATACTTATGTAAAATGGGCTATGCATATGGACAAAGTCTAAAATGAAACATGCAAATATAAAAATCATTGCATAAAAAGATTATGATGCCCTGACCGGTGTGGCTTGGTACACTGAAGGTCGCAGTTTCAAAACCCAATAATGTCACATAGGCTGGGCGTGAGAAGCAATGGATTGGTGTATCTCTCGCACATTGATATTTCTCTCTCTCTTCCTTCCCTTCTCTCTAAAAATCAATGAACATGTCCTCGGGTGAGGATTAAAAAACATGTTATGGACCCGGCCCCAAATGTTAACAGTGCCAAGGTGGAGAAAGGGCGGTGCAAGAAACCTAACACGTGAATCTGAAAGAAAGACTGTGACCGTCTCCGTGGATAAAAGGAGAATACAGGAGGAAATCTCCGAGAAGCGCCTGAAGATAGAGGAGGAGAAGCTGCAGCACCAGCACCTGAAGAAAAAGGCCCGGCGGGAGAGCTGGCTGCTGGACGGAGTCGGAGTCGGAGTCGGCGGCGGGAAGGAGGAGGAGCTGGACGGAGTCGGAGTCGGAGTCGGCGGCGGGAAGGAGCAGGAGGAGCTGAAGAGGCAGAACCGGCAGGACCAGCGCCAGATCCAGGCCCTGGACCGGAGCATCCTCAGGCTTGAAGAAGAGACCCAAGACCTTGAAAGGGCTGAGCTACAGATCTCGACTCACGAAGAGGCGATTTTAAAGAAACTAACATCCGTGGAGAGGACAACGGAAGACACAATAAGGTCTGTGAAGGTGGAAAAGGAAGCAACGCCAGGAGAGTCGATTGAAGACATCTATGCTAATATCGCCGACCTTCCAAAATCTACGTCCCTTCCCAGTTAAGGAAGGAAAGAAATGATGGACTAGAAGGCGATGAGCAAAATAGAAAAGCTCTGTACGCCATGGAAATCAAGGTGAAGAAAGACCTGAAGACGGGCGAGAGCACAGTTCTGTCCTCCGTCCCGCTGCCGTCGGAGGATTTCACGGGCGAGGTCGGTGTACGCAGTCAGCTCCGACCACAGGGCCGCGCTCGACGGCACCGACGGCCGGGGGCCGTGGAGGAGGAGGACCTCCCGAGACTGGCGTCCGAGAGGAGCACCGGTCCCCGACCGAGTACCACAAGCCCGGCTACGCCAACCCCTTCTGCAGGCCCGCCACCCCGCAGCGGGAGAAAGCAGCCCTCGGACCCAACCTCCAGGAAAGGATCCAGAGGCGACAGGAACCACTCCGTCCACCACGTGGACAACGGGCTGTCGGGGGAGAGGGGTGACCACTGGCATCCACACAGCCCCCCTCGGCCGACCCCTCACCCCCGCCGGTGGGTGACTCCACCAGCAGAGCGGCTGCCGGCCGCTTGGGAAGGAGCGGATGGGACAGATGGGACGCCGGACCAGCAGGCGCCCTCCCCCAGGCAAGGCCGGGCCCCAGAGGAGGGCTCGCTGGGAGGTCTGAGCGCCAGAGCCCTTCTCCCACGTGCAGGGGGCCGAGGAAGACGTGCGATACAACATCGTGCACTCCCTGCCTTCTGACCCGTGACCGTGATCTTCATGGGGTACCAGCAGGCAGAAGACCATGCGGAGGAGAGGGGGCTCCTGACGGGCTGTGACGGCGTCATCCATGCCGAGCTGGTTGTCATCGATGAGGAGGAGGGCGAGGGAGAAGCTGGGAACCTGCCCCCCAGCCCAGGGCGCACGGTCAGGCGCACCAGCCGGCCAGGCCATCACCTCTCCCCAGGGAGAGAGCGGAGGTCAAGCCCCCGGAGAACGCACGCCATCCTTCTCCCCGCAAACACTCCCCGTCGCTGAGAGAGCAAGAGGAACGCCTGGGCAGCCCTGTCCGCCCGCCTCCACATGCTGCCCAGACAGCCAGGGGACGGCACGGAGGGCCCGTCGCTCACAGCTTTAAGGATAAGAATGGCAAAGCTGGGGGGGAAAGTTATCTGAGAGGTGTACCATCTACATAAACATACTTTGGAGAAGAAACTACGAAATGTTTGCCACTTTCTCTCCTGGATACTGTGTTTCTTTCTTTTTCTTTTCGATCCAAAAAAAATTATGATTATACCCATATTAAGCCATGTGAGTAAGCAATAGCCATTATTTGTAAAATATATATATAAATATATATATAT